GGGTGCCCAGGAGAGTGGGAGGGTGGGTCTGATTAAGATACATTGTAAATGTGTGTGAAATTGTCAAAGAATAAATAAAAGATACTGTGAAAAAAAATCACACAAATGGAGCAGAGGAGGGCCTGGGACAAGTCGCAGGCAAGTCTCCTAGAGGAGATTAAATGAAAAGGGAACGTACACCGGTCTTGACTAATAACATAAATGAGGTTATAATGCTGCTCCCACTACACGGGGTGGTGGTCCCATTTAACGTCAGTTCAGCTAGTAAAGAAAACTTGGAAACATAAATTTGCTTTATATTCGCTCTTTTAGGAGACAAAAGTAAGTAAGACACCGTTGTGTAAAGAAGAATGACCTGATTTCATGTCTCCCTGACTCCAAGCCATACAGGTGGAAACATCGTTTTGTCTCCTGGAAAAAAAAAATGATTGAGGGAGCTGGGTGGTGGCTTAGTCGATGATGAAGCGTGAGTATTAAAAGAAGAATTAAAAAAACTGGGTGAGGCAATCTGTGCCTGTAATTCTGGTGCTGGGGAGGCAGCACCAGATGGATCCCTGGGGCTCATTGGCCAGCCAGTGTCACTGAATTGGTGAGCTCCAGGCTTAGTGAGAGGCCCTGTGTCAAAATAATAATAATAATAATAATAATAATAATAATAATAATAATAGTAATTAATGTTGATCAGTGACTTGCACACACATCTGTATACACATACAGCTGTACATGCATGTATGTGTATACACACACACACACACACAAACACACACACACACACACACACAAACACACAGCCCTAGATTTGGGGGTTGCAGCTCAATGATCGAGAGCTTGTCTGGCATGCACAGGGTTTAGGTTCAATTACCAGAACTGCAAAAAAGCAAAGCAAAGCAAAACCAACACGAGTCTCTACAGGTACAGGGAGTTTAAATCAAGCCTCTTCACAGACATTTCTCCAATTCTCCCCAGTTTTGAAAATAGAACCTTCTAACCTGTGAGAATTAGCTGAAATCCAAAGGTTTTAGTCTGAAACATGTTTTTCTAGCTTTTATTGCATTTGTAACACAGGGAAGCCCCCAAGTTACAAATCAAACTCACAGAATTAATCATTTTTGATAGTAACAATCCAAGTCTGTTCTCCTTGGGGGACTTTGTAGACCTTGTAATTTCATCTACAATAAAACTTGAACAGCTTCCAAAAACAAGCTAGGATTCATAGAACAGCAATACTCACGCCCACCCCACCCGTGTGTGTGTGTGTGTGTGTGTGTGTGTGTGTGTGTGTGTGTGTGTGTGTGTTTTTACTGGTGCTCTCAGGGGAAGACCCTACCCAGCTACATACCAATTTGTGAACTGATATCAGTTCTACCATTCTGTGTTGGTAGCTGGCCATTTACAAACCACCCCAGATTCCAGAGAGGAGGAAATTGTTGTAGAATAATCTTTTTGTACAGTGTGAAGATGGGTCACTCTGATTGGTTTAATAAAAAGCTGAATGGCCAATAGCTAGGCAGGATTTTTGGGGCAGAGCGGATGCTGGGAAGAAGAATCGAGTCGCCAGCAAGATTTAGAAGAAGTAAGATGGGCAAAATGGAGATGAGGTAACAAGCACATGGAAGAACATAGATTAAAAGATATGGGTTAATTTAAGTTATAAGAGCTAATTAGAAAGAAGCCTAAGCTAGGGCCAAGCTTTTACAATTAATAATAAGTCTCTGTGTCATTATTGGGGAGCCAATGGTTCCAAATAAAAAGTCCAACTACAGGAAATCACCCTCTCCTTCTGAAGGGATAAATGTGCAGAATGATTGGTCATATCCTAGAACCATGAAGTTTTACACTCAGTCTTCAACATTCAGCTAGCAGTAGGACCACGGACCCAAACATAGCTCCCAGGGGCAGCACAGATCATGGATATCCACATAGTCTTTGGTGATAACATTGTGGTGATATTGTGTTCCCCAAAATATTGTGCACCCTAATAAACAGAACAGCCACTAGATACTCACACCTTTAATCCTAGCATTCCTAAGGCAGAGATCCGTCCAGATCTGAATTTAAAGCCACACTGGAAACAGCCAGGCATGGTGACTCAAGCCTTTAATCCCAGGAAGTGATGGCAGAAAGCAGAAAGGTATATATAAGGCATGAAGACCAGAAACTAGAAGCTTTTGGCCTGGTTAAACTTTTAGGCTTTGAGCAGCACAGTTCAGCTGAGATTCCTTCTGGATGAGGACTGAGAGGCTTCCATTCTGAGGAAACAGAATCAGCTGAGGAACAGGCGAGGTGAGGTGGCTGTGTCTTGTTCTGCTTCTCTGGTCTTACAGCATTCACCCCAGTACCTGGCTCCAGGTTTGTTCTTATTAAGACCCTCTAACAATTCGTGTTACAGGCCATGGGCATTGCGGTAGGAGCATGGACTCAGGCATGGCCCCCAGAGGCAGCATGGACCATAGACATCAGCACGGTCTCAGGTGGCAGTTCAGACCATGCACATCCACAGGGCCTCCGACAGTAGCTCAGGCATGTGACGTCAACACGGTTCAGCCTTCCTCCACCGCATATGCACTGCTCCAGCCCTCCACCCTTCCCACCCCTCCATTGCAAATTCATTCATTGCTGTGGCACTGGAAACTGAAGCGAGTCACTATACATATTGCCCACAGCAGCTCTGCATGCAAATACTGATGGCTATGAGTCATTGGTCTGGCTCAAGGCCTCTGGTCTCTGGATCACCGTAAATACTGGACCATCGCTGAGACTTCTTCCATCATTGCTGGGCTTCAGGGTTTTCATCTTTGGCTGTGCTCTGACATCTGGTTCTGGAGCGTCGGCTCCTCCTCATGATCCAGCAGCTTGTAGATGGAGTAAGTGTTGGGGCTGACCTACTCAAAGTGCTGGATCTGGGCCTGGATGGCTGTCCAGGTGGCCAGCCCGCCCAATGCTGCAGTGGCCTCTTGGGTGGGTGGGGACTGCCCTGCGCTGCCCAAGCAGACTCTTGGCCCAGACGGACCGCATTTAGGGTTGCAATCAGGATCAAGCGTAACTGGGTGGGGAAGCTGGTCACATGAACCAAATCTGAGAGGAAGAGAGGCTTGTGGGGAGGCTTAATTCTAAGCAGATAACCTATAGGATCCAGTAAAGGTCCAAGTCACCAGTCTCTTGTAGTTCCATGGTATTTGAATACCTACTGCCATGTACTCAAGTGAAAACTCCCCACAAGCAATTGAATTTATACTTTATATCCTGAGAAGACGTAGCTCTGGGCTGGAGCCAGAGATCTGAGAATTACCAATAGACAGATTGTAACTGAAGTTCTGAGACACAAAAATTCCCCAGGAGAGAGTGTAGAGGTTTGAGATGACCTGTAACAAGATGAAATCGCTGTCCAGTACTGTGTTAGAGAAAACATTTTCTTATAATTAAGAAATACATAACTGCACTCGTGTTTTCATTATAGTTAATGTGTAACTCTTATTCATAAAATAGTCAACATGTTTTTTTATTACAATTATTCTAAACATCATAAAGACGTTTGTTCTTTACAGGTCCAAGATATTAAAGAGCTTGGTAATCAAATCATTGGAAAGAACAATCTAAAATCGGCCTTGACAAGCCGAAGAGTGTCCGCAGCAATGAAAGGATGACTTCCCATTGTGTCTGAGCTGAGCTAAGAAAAAAGGAGGCTCTTCCTTCCTGACTACCTTTTATAGCCCTGGAAGCTGCTATTCTGGATGCTGAAAGAAGGCAGTCATCAGTGGTCTTACCCAGCTGTGAACCTTATTTGCTACGTTTCCAACCTGCCAAGCCAGAGGTACCCACTGGTACAAGCATGGCATGGCTGTTCGAGGGGCAACCAGCTTCTTTCCGACTGGAAGTCACTGGCACAGGAAGGAGGTCACGGCTGGTACAAGAAATTTGGTGAACGCCTTATGGATGACTTGGCAGGTCGTGGGACCTGAGGGTGAACCCACTGCTAAATAGACATGCTGTCAAACTGCTTCCTAAATAGTTATGTTCATACCCACCACCAACTGGTCAGAAAACCGTCTAGACAGTGGTGGTTAGCGCAGAGACTTGTGGCGCTGAAAATGAACCACTATTGAATGCTCAGTTCTCCATGAAGCACCTATGTTATCCCTTCTCATGCTCGGGGAGTATCATGGGAGAAGGGAGAGGACAGAACATAGGAGCCGGAGGGTGGGGCGGAATCTCACAGGATGCTGTGAGATGATCTCCTCCAGGCATGATGGGCCACACTCATGAACTCACCCACAGCAGCTATGGTGACCCACACAGGTGTGCACAAAGCTGGGCCCATCAACATTCAGTTATGATGGGGGAGCCACTAAGGGTGGGGAGTCATCATCTTCAGGGGTGTAGCCACGCCCAGGCCTACCCAGTCGGCTCTGGTTAAACTCAGTGGATCCCAAAATAAAGATAAAAACACAGACAAAACAACAAGACATAAAAGCGGGAGGGTGACTTGTTGGGAGGAGGGGAACCAGGGTGGGGAGGAGCAAGAGAAGGTGGCATGGTGCGGCCAGAGTGTACCATACACCTATACGACACGGTCAAAGACAAGTAAGTTAACAACAACAATAAGACAAAATCTCCAACCAGGCCTGGTGTGCAGGCCTGTAATTCCAGCTTCTTGAGAAGCCGAGGGAAGGAGAATTGCAAGTTCAAAGCCAGCCTGGACAGCACGATGTGACACTCCTTTAAAATAAAAATTAAAACAAAAAATAGAAAGAGAGCTTGGAGTATTTCTCAGTGGTAGAGCACTTGCCTAGCATGCATGATGCCCCAGGTTCAATACCCAACACTGCCAAACAAACAAACATACAAACAAACAAACAAAAAACCAATAACAAAATTAGAACCTATGGTGGTTTGAAAGAAAATGTCCCCCAATGGGAGTGGCACTATTAGGAGGTGTGGAATTGTTGGAGTAGGTGTGGTCTTGTTGAAGGAAGTGTGTCACTGTGGAGGCGGGCTTTGAGGGGTCATATATGCTCAAGCCACGCCCAGTATCTCAGTTCACTTCCTGTTGCCTTTGGGTCAAGATGTAGAACTCTCAGCTCCTTCTCCAGCGACATATCTGCCTACATGCTGCCTTGCTCTCTGCCATGCTGATAATGGACTAAGCCTCTGAACTGTAAGCCGTCACCTCAGTGAAATGTTTTCCTTTGTAAGAGTTGCTGTGGTCATGGTGTCTCTTCACAGCAATGGAAACCCTTACTAAGAACCCTTCCACATTTCAGTGGCTTAATCCAGCAGACGTTTGTCTCTTGCTCACACTGTAGTCCAGGATGGCAGGGCCTGCTTCTTTC